TGTCTCCTCGGGGGTCTGTCCTCCTCTTTCTTTGCTTCTCTCTGGGCCTCACTCCCTGCACCTCATCCCCACAGCCTTCCTGCCCTTTCCCGTGGCTCCGTCCTTCCCCATCTGTTGGATCCACTTAGTTCGAGAACAGCATTATGTTATGTGTTGATTTACATGGTGGTTGCCCTGGTGACACCGTGTGTCACAGACATGTGGCCTCCCCTAGCTGTCAGCTGAGTAGAAGCAGATCACCGGGCGTTGGCTTCCCCTGGGCAGGTTCGAACTGCCAACCTTTGCCTGAATAGCCAAGACCAAGCTGCAGGCACCATGTGAAGACCATTAAATTTAAACCAAGTTTCCATATTCTTATGTGACCCTCATGGAGCTAATCTTTGAGAGGAAAAATTTATCCTGACAGTCTCGTCTGTGTATATATATTTTTCCTTATAAAATGAATACATTTTTTAAAGTCCAAAAAAATTGTTTAAAAACTAGCTGTCCATGCCGACTCACCATGACCCCTAGGGCTTTCTCTCTCAGCTCTGAGGGAAGGGCCTTGTCGCTAATGTTTCTGCCCCTTGGGTCCTTGGAGAGTTCCTGTGGCATGGCACCTGTGTCCCCCCACCCTCTTGCTTGCAGCTTGCTTACTGTCCCTTTTAAATCCCAAGGGATTGATTTTAAAATCCGCCCTGCACCACCTCATTAACACACTTAAAGAAACCCGATTCCCAGATGAGATTGTAACCACAGCGACAGCAGGATATGCAGCACCTATCTTTGGACAACACAGTTTAATCCAGAACACAGGGAAGGCCTCCCTCAGCCAGCCCCCAGGGGAAGCCTGGGGCTCCGTGGGCTTTTTAATTGCCTCAGGACGTGGGCTGCCCCTGGGAGGGGCTGTGACCTTGGTAGAGGCCAGCTCCATCAGTCACAGGTGAACCCCAGGGAGAAGCTCAGCTGGGGCTACCAGCTGCTGCTCTCCTGGTCCAGGAGGGGGCTCCACATTACAGGGTGGGAGACCGTGGTGGGGTTATTCAAACCAAGCCTAGCCATCAAGACAATGCTGGCTCATAGCAACCCCCTAGGGTGGGGGGTTCTGAGACTGTCACTGTTTATAGGAGTAGAGAGCTCAGTCTTTCTCCCAAGTTGCTGCTGCTGGTTTCGAACTGTGAACCATGCAGATCCAACACATAACCGCTACAGCCCGGGGGCTCTCTCTTTAGTTGAAATGTAGCTGTAACCCTAGGGCTTATATCATTTTGTTGTCTTTTTCTTTGCTTTCTCCACTTTGTATCGTGAATCGGGTAAAGGTTTACAGAACGAATCCACCTTCCACCCCGCAGTCTACACACCGTGGCTTCCCTGTCATTGCTGGCCGAGCCCACAGTGGACATGACTCACCCCCTTCCTGCGTCCTGGAGCTGGACCCCTGGGATGGGTCTCTTTCTCTCCACGTCATAGCTTGTCATAGGAAAACGTCATCTCGCACGGCTATGTAAAACTATACTGTATGGGCATCGTGCAATTGACCACACCAGCCCGCTCTTTTGGGGTGTTGGGAGCGGTCCCAGTCTTGCAGTTGAAGGTGAGGGTGACGGCGTGCTCTAGGTCGAACTCCCTCTTGTTTTTGGTGAGCAGCCTCTGCTGGGAGGACCCCTGTCCGTCTGACATCGACTGTCCTTTCACAGTGCCACCGTGTCAAGACTTTTGGGAGCCCTGCCCTCTGCCCCTGAGGCACCTGTGTGATGGTTCTCCAAGGGCAGCCTGAAGCAGGGGCTGGCGCTGCGTCTACAGACCTCGTGCCCCTGTGCCCCTGCTTGGTGGCCCTTAATCAAGAAACACACTCTGGCCTTGCTGTGGGGCCTGGTCAGCCGTCTTCACTGAGGTCCCTGGGAGGGGAAAATTGCTATTCCAAAGGTTGGCGGTTCAGAGCTGCCCTGTGGCTCAGCGGAAGCAAGGCCTGGTGTAGTCGGCCTGAGTCTCAACCCAAGATACCACACCCGGGGCTCTGCTTCGAAACACATCATGGGTTAGGACCAACTGCAGAGCCACGGCCCCGCGGAATGGTTTTCAGAAACGGAATTCAGACAAGGCGAGTGGGAAACACACGGGAGATTTCTGGAACCAGAAAGGACCCAGTGAGCCCAGCACTGCCCCTCAGGGTGGCCCTCACATGGCCTGTCCCAGGCCTGCAGAGTTCCCCGGGCTCTGGACTCCTCTGTCCCAGACAGGAAGTACCCTGAAGCTGGTGTGGACTTTGATTTGTCGTTCTAAGTGGCATCTCTGTGCAGGAGGGACCACAGGGGCTCCTGGTTCCGCTGACCGCACCCAAGTGCCCACACGGGAGACTCTCCCCTGCCCTTCAGGGGGCCCGGGGGCAACCCACCTCTCTTCCCTCCCCCTGTCTCTCCACAGGCAACCTACCTCCTGCTGCAGCAGAACTACTCAGGGGCGCTGGAGGTGGTGAGCCAGCTCACCGTGGCCTCCCCAGGCTTCCTGCCAGCCCTTGTCCTAAAGATGCGGCTGTTCTTGGCCAAGCAGGACTGGGAGCAGACCATAGAAACAGCACAAAGGTGAGGGGCGGGGCCGCTTCCTTCATTTCCATGGGAGGAGGCTACTACGCTCTCATCCTCCAAGGGGGGAGGACGCACCCATCCTGACAGATACTGTGTGCACTGCATGGAATGCGCCGTAATGGTCAATGTCACTGAGAAGAGGCCTTAACAAAAAACAAACAAACTCGCTGCCATTGAGTTGATGGCGGCTCAGAGCGGCCCTGCCGGACAGGCTGGAGTTGCCCCTGCGGGTTCCCGAGACGGTGACTCCTCCTCATGAGCTGCGGACCTTGCGGATCTCAGCCAACTCATAACCACTGAGACAGCTTCAAGAGAGGCATTATGAGGGGTGCAACGATCTAGGGGGGGGCAATCGATGTAACTGAGCTAGTCACTCATCCTTCATAGGAGGAGGTCTCACACTGTGGGCTATGCCCAGCAAAGCCACAGGTAGGGGTGGGGGCATACTATTTAGAAGGGAGTTGGAGGGAACCCCCAAAGAAACAAGAACCCTGTCGGGGGCGGGGAGCAGTGGCCTCTGAGGAGCCTCAGGTAGGAAGGGGTGAGGGCAGAGTGGGACGAGGGACTACGGGATTGTTTTTGTCTTTTAGAACTATGGATATGATCAACTTAAATAAAAGGGCTTTCATTTCAAAATTTTAGGGGGTAGGGAAAGGATCTTTCTATCTGGTGACTGTCTGTCTTCCTCTCTTGGTGCTTCCGCAATAGAATTACCACTGAAGGGGAGTCTTTAAGGAACAGAAATGTATCATCTCACTGTTGAGGTTAGAAGTTCAAATCCAGGACACCTGCGCTAAGGGGAACGCTCTGTCAGTTCTGGGGGGAAGGCCATTGACTTAGCTTCTGTGGCCCTTGCATTTCTGGGTCACATCGGTCTCCCCCGGCAGGAAGAGGAGAAGGGAGAGGGTAAGGGAGGAAGGAGTCGCTAGCTGCTTCCATGAAAACAGAACTCGGTGGTGCCTGGTATCATGGATGGTCATTCTTATGAAAAACCCAATACAAGTCTCTTGGTCAAAACATAAGGTTTCTCGAGTGGGTCATACCTCGGTTCTTGGCTTCGCACAAGAATGAATTCACGCCGAACCCCGTTTTGTAATCCCAGTGGGTTTCTATGAAGGACGGGAGAAGTTTCAAGTTTTACGGTCTCGAAAGAGTCCGTGCTATTTCAGGGAAGCGTGCTGAGCCTCACAGAAGCCACGCTGGGGCCCATCACTGGGACCCAGGGGTCGAGAGAGAAAGAGGAAGAGGCGCAGAGGCCTGAGCTTGGGGCAAGAGAGAGCGCTGGGGGAAGAGCGGCTGTGGTCCCCAGTAAGGTGGGCAGGCACCACTGACCAGTAGCAGGGTAAGGCGTCCCAGAGCGTGCTCCCTGCCTTTATTCTAGCCCACCCCCTGGCTGGGGAAGGTGTGGTTGATGGTATTGGTTGACCTCATTGGAGAGTTAGGCCTATCTGGCTGATATCCTGAGCCTGGGCCTAGTTTGGCCTGCCCAGGTGTTCCTCCCACCTGGCTCGGGGGCTTGAGTAAGAGCATGCTCAGTTTGGGGTCTTAATAGGAGTCTAAGGGTCGCCTCATTTCTTTCCAGCCTCCTCTATGGGGGCCTTGCAGGCAGGGGAGGGACAACCCCTGTGCCTGAGCTAGCTAGCTAAGCAAAAGAGGGAAAACGCAGAATAGGGTTTCACGTTCTCATGGGCTCCAGACACGTTCCAGCTGCAGAGGGTGGGATTATTGCTCGGAACTAATCTTTAGAACCCGAAATAGCCTCGGACATTGTCTGTAAACTGAACGGCAGTTGAGCTTAACTAGTGAAAAAAGGCTCTGCCTTGATTGAGCATCATGTTCTCTTAATAGCTACCTGGGTGGGAACAAAGCGACCATCCAAAAGATTCCACAGGAACTTTAGGGAGCAGCTGGTACATGCAAACGAGGGAGGGACAAATCGACAAAGGAGGAGGAAAAAATTCACACAACTTGAACAACATAATCTCTCTCGAATGTATAGATGTACCCTAACTCGTACGTGTCGAAACTGTTGGTGTATGTTTTGCTGTGTATCTCCCCAGGAAGACAAGCAAAATAAAAGCTAGGGGGGCAGGGGGGAAGGATGGCAGCCAATGAAACCCTATAGCAGCAGGGCTCCTCTGCTACATGAGGTCCTTATATGTGGGGGACCAGCCTCCACATTCGAACGGGTCCAAGGAGTGGTTATGTAATTGAAGGGTAAAATTAAAGACATCAGACAAGATCATGCATGTGAATGCTCACCTCCGGGACCATCAGGACTTCAGGAGTCAGATCCACACAGAAAGAGAGAATATATTTCCAACTAAGGTTTATATACACTCTAGGAGTGGGCAAGCTCCCTTAATTATAGGTAACCACATGCATAACAGGAGGGGGATGAGCGAGGGGTGGACACGCAATAGGAAGGGAAGCACTAGGGGCACACATGTGACAGGAAGACATATACATAACAAGATAGGTGGGCTCTAGAGTCTAGGTGGCAGCCTAGCCTTGGTCGTCCCTGAGTTGGTTTGACCACGGTGTCTTTGGGCTTTCCTTCAGGGGAACAATCCATCGTCCTTATCAGAAAGGAGTGGGCTCTACTTAGGATGGGACAGACAATAGGCCCTGATTGCCTTAGATGGCTGACAACCTCAGGCAGATAACCTTTCAGTAGTTGACCTCCATGTGTATAATCAGTGACCATGTGTTTGCAAACAGCACCTTAGGTTTGGCACATATGATGCGGTGACATCCTGGGGAATAACTTTTCTTTTTTTTTAACATTTTATTAGGGGCTCATACAACTGTTATCGCAATCCATACACACATCAATTGTGTAAAGCGCATTTGTACATCGTT